GTGTTATTTACACGCTATTGGTAATTGTGGATTGTTGCAGATGACTTATATAAATGATGTGCCATATTGGAAACTACCACTTTTTTAGGCACCAACCCTTTTATAAAAGCGTGCTCCATATTTTTATACAGTGAAATAGATTCTTGTATCTAAAAGATGTGAGGTTAAGGTATGTAAAAGCTGTGTGAAGACCTATTAGGAGAGGTGTACAAAATCAATGTTTTTGATCTGTAGGAGTCCAAAACCTCAAGCTTAAATTTACAAGTCATTCCACATGGAAGACACCTTATATCTAAACACAGAGTCCAAAAATTCTGTGGGCCAGTTGAAATGTGCTCCTCAGCATCACACTTATAATGCAGTTTTCTAGATCAAAGACAAAGTGCCCAGTGACCATCAGGATAACACTGTAGAAGCAGATTCAAAGGTTCTTTTTTTTATTAAACTTCCAACTTTAAAGAAAAACAGAAGCTGACTAAGCCCCCTCTAATGGGTTTCCAAGTGCCTCTACTACAGACCAATGCAACACACTGGCACAAAGTTGTATATGGTGGTAGTTATTAGTGGAGATTTGATGACAGAGGGCTACTACAATATAAACTTTAGTGAGAATGATTCAGTTGGGTGTTATTTATCTTCTGTGTCTCGTTTCTATATATTATGTTAGACTAGATTTCTTGGGAATTGTGTAGAATATTGGTTCATGTGTAGGGTGAATCCTAAAAAGGAGCAAATTTATAGCATATTCAAATGCGCTTGTTTAGTTCAAATCTGTTTACTCTCTTATATTATTAGTATTAGTTATTATTATTATTTATTACATTATGATTTGTTAGTTTTTATTTTTATTATTAATATTATTAGTATTAGCATTATTATCATCATTATTGATATTACTGTTATCATTATTATTATATTATTATGATCATTGTGATCATTACCATTATATATTATTATTATTATTATGATCATTATTTTTATCATAGCTATAATTGTTGCAATTATATATTATTATCATTATTATTACTATTATTATTGTTATTACTATTATTATTATCATTATAATGATTATGATTGATTATGATTATTATTAACATTAATTGTATATTTGTTATTAATAGTATTAGTGTTATTAATTTTAGACATCTTAATTTTGATGATCAAATTTGATTGTTTCAATTATTAGTTTTATTTTAATTATTGATTTTAGTTATTCTAATTGTTTTGATCATTGATTTTGATTATTGATTATTAATCATTATTATTACTTTCTATTTCTGTTATTTTTATTATCAATATTGTTATTTAATCTTTTGGAGGGTTAACATGTATAAAGTCTAAATTTCCCAAGAGATTGCACAGATACTCATTTGTGTAGTTTTTGTCTTTATTTTTTAAGCAGATTAGTTTGCGGAGCCTAATATTGAAGAGATGATTTTATCATTTTGCTCGTTGATAATGAGCTTATATTTAAGAAATGCTAATAATGAGCATCTATTAAAAAAAGAGGAAAAAAAAGTGAGGATGTAACAAAACAGCTGGTCACTGAGGTATTGTAAACTGGTACCTAATTCTGGTTGTATAATTTAAAGTGTGCCAAATTCTTGGGGAAAATGAACATTATTTGTAATGTAATCACTTTGATATGAAACAAACAACTTTGCTAAGTGATAATAGAATCTAGCTTTATGTGCCACGTCAGGAGGTGATGAGAAGACAACACTAAATGAAATTGAGCATAATATAATGTAAGATAGAAAAAAAGAGGAAAATAAGGTAAACGAAATAAGCAAAATAGATATGACTTCCAGCGCTGATTCGCTTTTAGAATCTGTTTTTAGCCTTTACCTGAAGAAGGAGACAAGGTGTGTAGTTGGAGTTATTTTTATTTCATTTGTATACATGTATGTGTTTTTGTTTGTATTCTGCTGTGTGGCAAGGTTGGCATATCAAAGTAAAAATCACATGTGTTGCATTTCAAACCCATCTTCCATTGAGATGTATGTGAAATATTGATTATTCGAAGAAAATGTCTACTGAGTTTGATGTGAGGACATTTTTCTTATTGTAAAGCAATGTAAAAAACAAAAAAATAAAAAAAAGCACAATGTTGGTTAAGTTCATATACTTTGTACATTATTATTTCATGACTGGATATTGTGGTTGATATACCTGTTCTCAAAATCATTTATTCATGTACCTGTGGAAGATAAGAAAATCTGTCTAGTGTAATGTGAAAGAACAGCTTTTAGGTATTTCTTGTGTTCAAACAGATGGTTTATTAGTTATAATGATAAATGATTATCTGATATAGGAATTTTTAAAAAAGTGATAGGCAGATTTAGAAACCATTTCATGTTAATTACTGAGGCAAGAAAGAATGAAGCATTTGTAATTGATTCATTTTTTTTCAGTGTTTATTCAGAGGCTACTCTGGTGTTATAGGTATTTTCTTGCCATATCCTTATTGGTAAGTCATAAAAAAAATGCTTTTGTTATAACATCAGTTTCGGTGAACATGAAAAGGTATGTGTATATATAGCATTAGAATTTCAAACTTCTCTTATTTGTGTCCCAGTTTCTGGTAATTTACATATTGAATATACAGTTAGATGTTTGGATATAAACAGGGAGGAGAAGGATTGCTTTCAGGATAGCACATGCATACCACCTGGAAAAAGTTGAAGGGATGATTATGTATACAGCAAAATTTGTTATCTTGTACTGCCCATACTTGTAATTTTTTTTTCTGTTGGCAGAAGTTAATGTGGGATATATTATACAATTATCTAACTTGGTAATGGGATTATTTTTCCATTGGTCATTTAAAAGAGATAAACAAACCCTTTTCCCTATATTTTTTTTCTTGTAAACCAAGATATTTGTAATTTGTACAAGACCTTGTTTTGTTGATGAGCCATTAATATTTTTATGCCTTTTTTTATTATTATTTCAGTTATTATTACATGGTTTAGAGGATCTAAAATCTGATGTTATGATATCAGAAATGTTTATAGAAAGTTATAGGTGATTTTACCATTTTTCTCTTTTTCTAGCTATATTCAACCAGGTGTTTTAACATATTGTAGAGTGCTGATGTTACAGGTATTTTTGATTCCAGTAATATTGTTTCTTGGTATAGTTTATTGTCAGTTTACATTGATCAATCTCATTCAGTATGTTATGTGTGTTCCCTACATCTCACTTGATATATGGCTTCCAGTATTTATACAAAGATGTAGAAAGAGGATTTTATAATATATTCTAGCATAGACACAATGGGACATATTGCAATTTGGAAAATGACCTAGTTAAATCTAGTGTCATTAATACTGAGTGACTGATGTGACCAATTCATATGTTAATTCACAAAGAGCAGTGATGTGACCAATTCATATGTTAATTCACAAAGAGCAGATGCAGTTCAACTTGTAATGATTGATCTTACATTTTCACAGTAATTACTTGAAGGTCTCTCAGTTTACAGACCCTAAACGCATTCAAGCAATTTTGCTGTTGAAGCATTACCATTCCCATGTTCATGCATGTGACGTTTATACTTTTTCAAGCTTAATTTATGTTGCACAATTTTATCAGACCTTTTTGTTTTTATGAGGAAATATCTTGTCGGTTAAGAAAGGGAGGGTGACTGGAATGTAGTTCGTATCTTGGCAGCTAAACTGACCCCCTTTGAACAGCAGAGCAACAGTTTAAAGTTTATCGGCTAGTCTTTATGCCTTATTGCTCTTGTGACACTGGATGTATATGAATTTTTCCTGAATGAGTAAAACATTTTGTGCGAGTGATGATGTGTTTTTTAAAAGAACCAAAAGCATGTGCATTAGAAGAATTGCACAACAAAGCTCTGTGCACATGCTGGTCGGTCACTGTACATATGTGAACTGATAGTGTATTGTAAATAGTAGTATTTTGTACGATTGCTTTCCACACAGGTTTTGACTATTGTGAATGCTGTACGTGCAATGAAACTGGATGGCTGATCTTGCTCGTCCACTTTCCTCTTCAATGTGTATATTTTTATTGAGTTTATTGTATTAATTTTTTTTTTGTGCCAATGTTGTTGTCCATTCACAGTATTTATATCTATAATATGTAAATGTTTATATGGCTGTAATTTCTATTTCTGTTGTCTATATATTGAACATTACAGAATGTTTATTTTCAAACGTTTATGTGAAGACGAAATATTTTTAGTCATGTCATTATGGTTTATACTCTTGAGTATGTTTTTCAGTATAAACTGATACAGTTAGCACAATGTGAAGCATAATCCTATTTATTTCAAATATATAGTGAAACCATTTATATGTGAAAAACTCACAAAATGTACTCACTTCGTAAGTTTATGGTAGTAAAGGATGTCCATATTCAGTACATTTTCACCAAACCTTTCAGCAGATGTCTCGAATCTTCTCTAAACAGACTTGCAAAGAAGGCCACAGTTAGGTCAAGTAACCAAAATTGCATGATGGCCATGTATCATGAAAGAATTATGATGCTCTTGGTTTTAAAAAACAATATTTATAGAATCTGTATGGAATGTGAACTCTCCCTGAAACAGAGATTTTAAATATATTAATTACCTTTTATGCTATGTTTACTTCATGTTTCAGATAAAAAAATAATCAAATAAATAGAATTCTTAAAGCTATTATTATTTTTTTTAAAATCTTAAAATAAAGATAACCTGTATTTCCAATCCAGGTGAATATATTACTTTCAGTTATTACAACCAAGCACTGGATAATTTGTAGATGAAAAAAAAAAAAAAAATTATATTGGGATTTTCTTTGCTCCATGAAGTTCGTTCGTAGTGTTAAATGTTTAAAAAGCCCCTTAAGTAAATATGCTAATCTGGCCGCAAAGATTTTCAATTATTGGCTACAGGCGACCTTACTTTACAAAAAGGATGTTTGGATGAAGGCCAGTGAGTCTGCCTCAAGCTGAGTGAGAGAGGAATCAAATTCTTTGTGGTTGGCATGGGACCTATTGCTCCAAGCTCTCATTCAGGTATTTATGTGAATAGGTGTGTCAGCATGAAGACTTCTGCCGGCAACGTTGTGAGTGACATTACTTACCCCATTATTTTTAGGGATCAAATTTCACTTTAGTGTATTGTGTATCTGGATGTGAATGCAGTTTTGACCTGTGGATTTGTAGGTAAAAATGTGCAAAACTAGGGAGTTAGATGATTTGTATTACATGACAGTTTTCTTTTGTCGAACTATATCTGGTAAGATTTTTAGTGAGTCATTTAAGAAAGCAGCGTTGGTGTCTCTCACGGTTGTTAACAGTCCTCTTCTGTGACTGCCCCATTTGTACCCATTTTTAATTTATGATGTCATGGTGTGCCTGTTTTAACATTTCCATTTCTATTATATTCAGGTGTGAATGGTAATGTAATGTATTTTAATGATTGGTGAGTTTTGAATTTTTTATCATGATTTTAGTATGGAGTCGCACAGTTCAACTTTACTTCCTGCAGTGAACAAAGCAGAACAGACTTTAATATGTATCAAATTTTTAAGAATCCTCACAGAAGTGGTTTACTGTCCAAGATGGTCATTACTCATTTTTTTTGTATGGAAGAAAATGAGTATTTTTCTATCTTAGCAAATATTTTGAATGCCCAAGTAGGTTATGTTTCTGCAGGAAAGTGTATTACTGTAAATAAGTAACAAAATGTGATTTAATGTACTTACTACTATAATCAGTTTTATGAAATAAAAATCCTGAAAATAAAATGGTTTCAAATTCCAGATGGCAATAGAATAAACTCTGTCTGAGCACTAAATAACATTTACTTTTATTTGTTACTTTCAATTTTGCATGTTAATATCATGTAATATCCTTTGTTGACATAAATACATAAATTGTTACCATTCACTGGAGGCCTAAAGGACTTGTGGAATTCCATGTGGCATGCTGGTAAGTAAGATTATTTAAAACATAACCTATATTATTTAATTTTTTTCTTCATTATGTTAATCATGGGTTTTAAGAAGACCAAGATACCTTTCCTGACCCACCTTTTGCCATGCCACCTCCGATTTTGCTGAAATCACAATTACTTTCCCCTTTAGGAGACAGAGACAGGCCCAATGCTGGGAATCTCCCCTACCTTGGGTCTCTGCCCTCATGTCAACAAATTTTGCATGTCATTTCGTCTTTCTTTTTTCGTTGTCTTCCCCAACTCCTTCATGAACGGCCTCAGGGAGCCATGGGCACAATATTCCCTGGTTAATTGTTTTGCCCTTGTCCCACATGTGGACCCTGAGGGATGGACCTATTATCTGCCCGTGTATTTCAGGCTTACCATAGCCAACCCCCCCCCCCCCCTCCATTGTTGTCGGGGGACTTAGGAGACGGAGACTGAGACCCAGTGCAAGGATCTCCCCTGCTAGGGCCTCAGCCCTCGACTCAACTAATTTTGCATGGTCTTTTCTCCCTCCAGTTTTCTGTTTCCGTCCCTTCTCCAACCTCTTCTACCATCTACTTCCCCCTGTTCGACCATACAACTCCTCCCCGTCAATGTCAAAACTGTTGGCGATTTGGACATCCTGCCAAACACTGCTGTTCCACATACTGATGCCCCTATGTACCCAACCCGGTCATAACCGATCAAACTGCTCTGCACAAACACGGAATGTGCTAACTGCGGCAGCCCCCATAATGTATTTTATAGAGGCTGTCCCACTTACAAGTTCGAGTCTGAGGTAGCAACTCTCAGATACAAAGATGGTCTCACTCTACGTGAAGCAGACAGGAAGCATGCCGACAAGGTTTCTCTTATACTCCCTACTCTAGTAATGTCGCTCGCTCTGCCTCCCCCTCCACCTCAAGATGTTCCTACACCCTCCCTATACCTACTTACTTCCCCACTTCCACTTCTATTCTATCTACCCCAGTCAAATTCTTTGCTCTAAACCCAGAACTCCAATCTCACTACAGCTCCAATCTCAACTACAGCCCCAACACCATCCCCTCTCTCCCCGCACTACCGCAGCAGACAGACTAAACGTTCCACCCCTTCTTCCCCTACTGCACACTCACCTTCACCTACCTTTACCTTCATTCCTCAGACACCAGTCTCCTCTTCCCCCCCTCATAAGAGAACTTTGTCTCACAAAACTCTCCAACCAACTCCACTGCAGAAACTATGGAAGATATCCAAAACTATATGCTTGAGACACAAAATTCCACAACTCATGC